GTCTCTCTCACCTCGATGTTTCACTCACTCTCTCAAAAATCGATGGAAAAAATATCCTCAGATAAAGATAAAAACAAAACAAAACAGGTCACCAGGGCCGAAAGCCCTAGGTGCCTAGCAAAGGAAAATTGCAGGGTGGGAACTTGCCCACAGGGTGACCTTTCCTCCCCCAGTGTATAGCTGGTCATGTGGTTCGGACCCCCTGATCTTTCCTCCTTAGTGATAACATCTAGGCCTCAGTTGTATTTCAGCTCCAGGCCCAGAAAAGCAACAAAACCAGACAAGTGACCCCACCACTGACCTCAGGACTAGCTGCACTAGATGATGAACCCCTGCCCTGGTGCCAACCTATCAGCCAGTAGAGACCTAGACCAGGAAAGGACATGCCTGGAAAGCTGCTGAATATTCTACTGAGATCTTCCCCTGGGACCTCTCCTAAAATCTCCACCCTTAAATCCCTTAGGACAGAGGACCCAGGCTCCAAGAAGAGCACACCCTAGCCTGCCCCTCCCCGTTCCCCCAGGAGTATTACCATTACCTTACTCACTTCCAAGCTCCAAAGGCCCTTCTTTTACCTCTATAACTTGTTTCCTAAGCCCATCTCTTCCACAAATTACTTCTACCTCTAATTTTCCAAATAAATGTTCTCTTATAGTTTGAATCTTGGCTCTGAATTCTTTCCTAGCCAGAACTCAAGTTTTGGGGTTGCTGAACCCAGGTCTGGTCTGACCCCACTGGTCTAGTACCTGGTGCCGTTCCCACCACCCACAACAGTACATGTTAACCTTGAGATGCTTTGTGAACATTTAAGTAGGAATACAGAGTGGAAAGCAGGATGTGTAAATTTTGTGTTCTAGAAGAGACTGGGGCTTAATGTTACAAATCTGGGAAGCATATGGGACTGAATGGGATCACCCAGAATAATAGCAAAGTCAGCAGACTCTGAGCCAAATGCAGCCTATGGCCTGTTTTATATCTGTAAATAAAGTTTTGTTGGAACACAGTCATACCCATACTTTTATTACTTATCTCTGGTTGCTTTGCATTACAACAGCAGAGCTGACTAGTTGTGACAGAGACGATATGGCCCTCCCACAGTCTACCATCTGGTCCTTCACAGAGCAGTTTGCCAATTCCTGCCTTAGAGAGTGAACAGGTAGAGGAGAGTGCTAAAAAACTGAGCCCTAGAGCACTTCAAAGGTTAAAGTTCAAAATTATAGAAAGATCCAGCAGGGGAGACTGCAGAAAGGAGAAACCATCAAAACAGAATAACTAAGAAAGTGTTGTCCCAGAGGCAAAAAATAAAGATGAGAAAGTGATTGACTGTGAAAAGTACCCTTGAGGTCCCATGAGATAAGAACTTAAAATGGATCATTAAATTTGTCACATGGAGGTCACACGTGGCCTTGACAAACAGTTTGGTAGAGCAGCAGTGAAGAAAGCCTGACTGAAGGTGATCCTTGACTATTTGGTTTATTTTTAAGAATAAGAGACTAGAAACACTGATTGGAAAAACTGATGTGTACACACATGGGAGAGGCCTGTTGAAGGGCCAGCTTCCCGTGGACATGTACAGGTAGGAAGCGGGCTGCTAACGTTTGACTTGGCCAGAATGCAGAGAGCTCTGCTGGGGCAGCAACATCATCAGATGCCCGACTTCCTCTCAAACACTTTCTTCACTTTCTACAAAAGGAATAAGCCCTTTCCTCCAGACTTAGGCCTGCATGGTAAACATCTGTGTGCTACTCCATAATAAAACTTAAGTTAATGCTCCTGTGTTAAGCTCAACATCACTCTCATGTTCTGGAGAGTCTATGACATCAACATGTCTACAACCTAAAGTTCTGCAAATCAGTCCACCTTCTTCCTACACTGCACCCCTCAGCACATACACTTCAGCTGGGGCTTCCTCCACACTGCATCAATAAGCAAATCTCCATTTGTTTTTCATCTGATGGCTCCTTCTTATTTGTTGTTTTAGGGACATCTTATTTTATTACTATCACTTTGATAGGATATTTATTAGAAGGGAGGTAAGATAAACAATTATAGTCACCCTGGCACCTTGTCTAGGTAATCACTCTTGTCAAAAACCAAGCCTGGTTATGCCTCCCTAGGTGTAACCTAACAAATTCTATCAAGCCAATCAACATACAATGGATATTGCCAAGCAGTGTAAAAACTCTCCCTTCAACTGGACTGAAATAAAATTTTATTCTATCATTTTTAAGTTATCTTATTATAATTTTCTTTTATAACAGTGAGTTATGACATACTATTATTGAAACCACTTATAGAGATTCTTACTGGAAACTTTAGCAGTGATGAAAACCAAATAAATATAATTTTCTATATTCACACAATAACAATTATGTTCTATTGTGTCAATTCAACTTCTATGATATTGGCCAACTTTAAAAAAAAAAAAAAGGTTACAGAAACTCACATATTTAAGATTCAAACACATATTTTGTGGATTCTTCACAGGGAAGTTTATGAGGTCCAAATATATGGTACATTCAATGGCGGATCCTACCTACTACTAAAATGACATACTTAAAGAAAACCTATAGTAATTTCAATATAAGCATATGATAACTATAAATGATAAAAGAAATTCATTGTTAAAGAACTGCATGACTCATCCTCATAACAAATGCAATGATCCACAGCACTGTTTCAGTAAGGGAACCAGTTGCCTACCCCACAGTAACAAAAATCCAAATTATGAAAAGTATATTTTCTCCCCACCCTTTGAGAAAAGTTTAAAAATATAAAACAGTACAGTACATTTTTAAGTTACTAATGAAACAGAACAAGCAAAAATATGCAGGCTACCAAAGTGGAATATTGACATGCAGTCTTTGGTCCCATAAAAGTAAGTATAACTGCATTATGATTTCACAATTAATTCAAGACTGCAGGGCAGTATGAATTAAAGAACTGAGACCTATGAATTAATAAATTCAAAATATTCTATTTTATCCACATTCTGGTTTTCACCTTTCACAAAATGTAACAAGAATTTTGGTCTTATGTCCTAAAGTCAAATGGGAAAGGAAATAATATAGTATATTAGATATCTACCATGTGTGAGACGCTGATAATCTTTACACAGTCTCATTTATCAGCACAGCAATTCTATAAAATTATTAGTGCTATCCCCACTTTTCAGGTACCCAAGAGAGTCAAGCCAGGCCTACAACCTAAGTGTTTTGACTTTTAGTGTAGAACTGTTTCCACAACACACTTGCTTCTGAAGTTTCAGAAATCATCTCACTCAGCACTTCCCAAACTAAATTCCATGAAACTCTAAGAGTCACTAGGATGTTAACAAATGTTCTGGGAAACAGGGGCTCTGGGGTTCAAAAGTTTTGGACAAGTGACATCAGAATTTCCCAGAACTTTAATAGGCACATTATGACTCTCCAAGAAGGTGACAAAACAGGAAGTGTTCTGTTCATTTATTAAACCATGAAGACCTTTTTTAAAGAAAACCTAATAATACCCCATGGGATACTTGTGTTCAGCTAAGCCCAGTTTGGAAAATGATCATCTACTTCAATCTCTTCTTTCCATGGTTTAATAAAATGAGGTACAGAAAGGTTAAATGACTCACTCAGGCCACACAGAAAGTTACTAACAGGGCCAGGGCTGGCACCAAAGAGGCCTGATGATTCCACCAGGATGCTCTTGCTTCTATGTCATCTTGTCTTCTCACTTCAACACTGTTTCTATAAAGTTCAACACCAATTAAAAGGGAAAAAAGAATATTACATCAATCATTTATTCTGATTCTTCTGAATGGCAGCAGATAAGTCATTTTCAGACATAAACTAAAAAATCATCTAACTCCTGCTGCACTGGTATTCCAGATATATTCGGGAATGTGGAAAATAATTCCATTTTAATAATGCTGAACACTTTTCAGCCAAGTAGGGCTATACTCGTGTTTTTCTTTGAAGTGAGATAGAACTGCACCTTAGTCCCACATACAGGCACTGCCAGAATTAAAAATATCCCATCTGTGAGCATCTTTATAAAGAGCTATTTGCTTACTGTTTTCCCCTTACCCTAAAGGGGCTTCCTTTCACTTTGTCCTACCCCTCCCAGCAAGTATTCACAGTCCTGGACCGAAGATGCCATCTGGCGTTTAGTTAAGGAACTGTTTAACCCAACATACCTTCCAATTACTCTCTCACCACCTGGCCCCTCTGCAAAACCACACTCCCCTTTCTTCCAAGTCTTGTTCATTTACCTCAGTAAAACTTTTTCTTCTTCTTTTCGTCTTACCCCAACTGAGTGAAAAACATTTTATTTGTGGCATTCTAGTTACAGAAAAATCATGAGTCTGAAACACACTTGTAGCTAAAGAAAAAGCCAGTGAGTAGCCAATATACAATACAGCCTCAGAAATGCCCTAATAGAGATTGTTAGAATACCTATTATTCATCCATTGTCTTCAAAGAATATCAGTGCTGAGAAGGACCATGAAGATCACTGTTAGGCCAACTGCTTCCTTTTGCAGCTAAAGAAAGTGGCCCTGTGAGAAAGAAATGAAGCAATCGCCTGCCCAACAGCACACATTGAGAGTTTACCGTAGAGCCAGGATTAAGGCCTGGGGCTCCCCGTTCCAAAGTCAGTGCTTGTCGCCTACACCATATGCTCCCAGCTCTGCAAGACTATTTGTTCTCAATTAGCATTCAAACAAAATATTTTTTAGTGTTCTTATATTCTCCTTAACTAATTATGTTGATGTTATGAATCTCATGGACAGGGCTCACAACTAAATCTCCTCAATGCTATGCCTAACAATGCCAAACACATTTCATAAATATTTCTTGACTATTGTCTTTTATTACTATACATATTGCAAATTTAGAATACCTTCACCATATCATACGTTGAAGATGTTTTTATCTGCTTAAAAACCCAAGTGCCATTTTATAACACAGTTTCTATGAAAAAACTGTTCCAATAGTCATCACATTGTATATTACCTTTTGGAACACAATCTGTTCAGAAATTTGGTACTTCTTGTTAAGGGTTCCTGTCCATCTGATCAGTCTTGACCAAACAAGGATGAAAAAAGAGTATGTATGCAGCATGGAGGGGAAAAGCAAACAATTTTGAAGAAAAAGGGAATTTTAGTACTAATTGCATTATAATCCCAAGACTTTAGGAAAGCCCAATTTTCTCTGCCATTAAATACTCCTCAACCCTAAACTCAGATCGGGTATGTGTAAACATTTTATAAGCTACAGATATCAATAATGATTACAGGTATTATTCATAGTAATTTATATTCTAGACCCTGTGACTAATCACTTTGCGTACAGTGTGCCATATAATTCTTACAGCCCTGAGTTGAATCCAGGATTCGAGCTTAGGTTTGAAAGTCCAGAGCTGGTGGGGATAATGCAAGGCCGACTTTACAGAAAAAAATAACTACAGTATTCCGCACCCCCAACCCCTGGGGCTCTGAAGTCAACCAACCAGCCTTGATATTTTCAGGTTATAGCTAACTCCACAATGAAATACCTGCGTGCAAAGAAAAATGAGAATAACGGGGACCTGGGTCCTTTCCCGTCTGAACTGGCTGGTCAGGGCCCTGAAAGCGCTTCACCACCTGGGCGTGGGCCCGTTCCACTGAGGGAGGGGAGGGGGCGAGCCTGGGGCACACGTCGTGATCGTGGGTATCGTTCGAGGTGTAAACCTGTGAGTCTCAATTCCCGATTCTGAGAGCTCCTGGGAGCGCG